GGGGGGGGGGGGGGTTGTCCAAAGTGACAAAACGCAAACGTTTGAGACAATATTGATTCAGACTTCTTGTCTCCACCTGTACCTCTCTCACTATTCGTGACCTTACCTCCAATACGAAAGCAGACACACCCCTACAGTAGCTTGGACTGAGCAGACCGACTGAGGGATGCGGAGCACCTTGGCCGGTTTTCGCTCTTCCAGCGCCATAAAAGGAACCCTACCCGGGTGGTAGGCGCGTTGACGACATAGAGGGCTGCCACGTACAGACACGCGAGACGGACTACTACAGCTGCTGGAGAAAAACATGTAAGTGCGAAGGGATACGCAAGTGACACGAAGAAAACTCCAACAACAGCAAACACACGCAGCAGCAGCAGCAGCAGCAGCAGAAGCAGGAGCAAGAGGCACAAACACACAGCGAGCCACCCTCTCTCACCTGCCCGACCAGCAACCCGCCACCTCCGTGCTGCTGGTGCTGGTGGCGCCCGTACATCCCCTGGCCGGGCGGCCTCTGCATTATACCCCCACCGCCATCCCCTCTGCCGGCCCCCCCTCCTTCCGGGTAACCGTACCGCCCTCCTCCTACTCCACCGCCGCCGCCGGCCCCGCCGGCAGAAAACTTGGGGTCGGACACGTACATCCTCGCGGGGGGCGCTTGCCGGTGGGGGCTGTTACCGCGAGACCCCCCCGCCCTGGCCCCCGCTACGCCCTCCACGCCCGCCTGCCCTGTCCCTCCTCGGGTGGGAAGGCCGACACCGGGACGAGAGTTGGCGAGGTACGATCCCTGCAACGGTCCGGAGGAGCTGCGGGGGAAGGCGCCGACCCCGGTCGCCTGGGGTGGCGGCGGCGGCGGCGGCGGCGGCGGCGGCGGCTGCTGCGGCCCAGACGCTGCCCTGCTCATGGCCGCGACTCGGGCAGGAGAAGGGTCACGGTAGCCTTGCCGTTGCTGCTGCTGCTGTTGTTGCTGCTGCTGCTTTTGTTGCTGCTGCTGGGGAAGATGGTGGTGGTGCTGCTGCTGCAGCCTCGCTGCTACCCTCCGATCCTGTGGTCACAACGCCGTTCAAAAACCGCCATTTCGTGGCAAACACGGCGGTTGGTTTGGGTAGGGGTTGGCGCCGTAGAAACGAAGTCATACAGCTCCAGGTCAAATACCAAAACACACACGCGTGCTGCAGACGAACTTCTTGTCGGCGTCCAGAATAGTTATCAGGGCCGTCGAGATGGCAGCGCTGCTAGAAGTACCGCAACGCTCTTCGCTCTTTGGGAATGCGTCTGGGGGTGCCCACATCTTGCACGTGAAAAGAGAAAAAGAACGCCCCCCGCGGAATTCGAAGTTAGGGAGAAGGAAGAAAGGAGAAAAATAGCGATCACGGCACCGACTCAAACTTGTCTTCTTCTTCACCGGCTGTTTGTGGATGGGCGGGGGCGATATCAAAGGGTCTTGCCGTGCAGCACGCCTTGCATAAGCATACTATCATGTCTAGGGTTGTTTCCGGAACAATAAATCGGCGACTTGAAAAGGGCGAGGAATTACCGCATCGGGTACATGGCTCCGTCCGGTCTCTTTCGCGCGAGTGTGCTCTGATCGTGCGGTTTATTCGTCCACACAAGGCGCATCAGACGCTCCAACCTTTCCAACCACCGCAAGGATCTTTCGGGAGGGCGCCTGCAGCATTCCCACAGCCCCCCCAAAAAAAGCAAAAGAAGCGCGAAACCGCCCACCCAAAAACAGAAACACGCATTTCCCCTCACCTGAAGCGGTGGGTGTGCAGGACCCGAGCCAGCGCAGTACATCTGCTGCTGCTGCTGCTGCTGCTGCTGCCCTCGTCCCGCCATCATTCTCTCCGGTACCCCCCCCCCTTTTCTCTGAGGGGACGGCACGCCGTAGCCGCCGGCTCCGGGCTGCTGCTCCGCTCCCATCCTCCCCTGCGCCCCGGCCGCCGCCTGTGGCGGCAACCGGGAAGGCGACGGCACGTGCACCCCGTACGCGTCACCACCCGCGGGGCCCCCACCGCGGGTAGAAGCCTCGTTTCTCTGCTGCTGCTGCTGCCTGTCCGGCGGGCTGCTCCCGTAGCCCGAGTAGCTCTGCTGCGATCCGCTGCTGCCGGCGCCAACGCCGCCGGGGGCGGGGCCAGTCCGGTGCTCGACGCCGCCGATGCGGTTACTAGCCCACGATGCTCCTCCTGCCCCCTTGCTCGCGAGAAACTGTGCCTGCTGCTGCTGCTGCTGCGGTGGCGGCGGCGGCGGCGGCGGCGGCTGGGGGTAGGGGCGCTGCTGTTGTTGCGACGCGCCTTCTCTGCCACCACCGCCGCCGACCTGAGCGAGCATAGAGGACGGGGCGGTGCTGCTCCACCGTAGGTCTTGCTGCTGCTGCTGCTGCTGCTGCTGCTGCCTGGCCAGCGAAGACAGCGACGCGTGATCCGGTGGCGAGTAGTCTTGTTCGGGCTGTTGCTGTTGTTGCTGTTGCTGTTGCTGTTGTTGTTGTTGCTGCTGCTGCTGCTGTTGGTAATCGTGGTGAGACTGGTAGCCCGCCTGCTGCCGCCTCTGCCGGGCCTGGAACTCCCTCTCCGCACCACCAGGGGGGGGTGCACCGCCACTAGCACGGTCTGCATAGGCGTCATCCGACGAAGAAAAATGAGGCATAAGAGCACCGTACGCGCCAGGCTGCTGCCGACCTGCGGGGCGGGGGTACCTACCGCCTCCACCGCCACGACTGTCACCGTATCCCTGAGATGAAGAGGCCACGGCGTTGCCGCCCCCGCCAAGGTCGTAGGGGGAACCGTCCCCCTCTCCCCGCACCCCCCCTTGCTCGTAAAGGTGGCTGCCACCGTCATACATCCCCCCGCCCGCCCCGCCAGCAACGCTCCTGCTGCCGACCCGCATACCGGTGCCGGCGCCGCTCACCCTGCCTCCTCCGTACGGGGCGCCTCCCCCCTCACAAGGCACGCCTCCGTTCGGGTTTCCGTCGTACGCGGGGTCGTAGTGCTGGAGCGACAAGATAAGCATTGGGGTGCTTTCAGAAAATGCATATACATTCGGTGGTTTGGTTCAAGTTTCCCGTTTCAGGATGCTCGAGTTGTATTGGTGCATAAACGAGCGGGATAAAAAATAATCGTGGGACAGGACGGACGCCCTTGGGGTCCTCCCTCGCTCAACCCTCTATCCCTACCGTTACCGTTACACTCACCACGTTGTGCCTCGTGACCTGGGGGCCACCGGAGGAGGTACTCCTGTGCGCCGTGTAGCCGTCCGAAAAATCCAGCTCTCTACCGCCGCGGCCGCCGCCGCTACCCCCCGCCATACGACGCCCGGCCCGCTCTGCCGCCGCCACCGGCAGTGCCTGTCGGTGGCAGGTGAGGGGGAAAGACACACAAGATGGTGGAGCGGATGGTGACGGAAAATATACAAAAATAACGAAAGCGTCGGGGATGTTCCTTCCTTACATCGTAGGCCGTTGGTTGGCGGTAAGGTGGTGTGCGATGTGATAAGCACCGACAGAAAGTCGGGCAGCAGCGCACCAAACTTATGTGCGCTGCGCGGCGTTGTGCATGTGTACTCACGTCGTCGGCCACGGGTTTCGTTTCTAACTGGCGTGTTCCTCGCCGCGGATTGTACTTCTTGGTATGCAACTCTTGGGCGAGGTACCCGGAGGGACCCTCGATAGACTAGCCTACGTCGGTGAACTTGTGGTCTACCCTGTCTGTTGTCCCTGCTGGAAAAATAGCGTTGTGGAATTAATGTGTCCAGGCCAAAGGCATCCATAACGACTCGCGAAAAAAGACCACCTGCTGTACGTTCAACGACACCAAAATGTTACCACAGCAACCTTCATATCACTCACTCGCTGCTGCTGCTGCTGCTGCTGCTGCTGCTGCTGCTGCTTTTGCTGGAACTCCATCGGCGTGCTGTATTCCACGTAGTCGCAACGCCGAGGAAAGCTTGCCGCTGCAGCTGCCGTGTTCGCTGTCGCTGTACCACCACCACCCGCCGCCTCCTGCCGGCCGGTAATAGCCTGCACCGCATGATGACCGGAAGCAGCAGTGCTACAACCCTCGCCGCCGCCGCTACCCCCGACACCCAGCCCGCCCCGGCGGCCGCCTTCGCCCCCGTCCCTACCTCCGTCGAAAGATGCGGAGCTGTTTTGATGATCGCCGGCTCCTGCCGCGCCGCCCTCTCCGCCTCCGCGAGATACTCCTCCGTGATACTGGACACACGAAACGAAACACGAGGGTCGTCGGCATGAGGCAAGGCGGACGATGAGGGTGTAAAGCCGGGGGGACGCAGGTACCGCACGGTCGGGCTGGTTCCTTCTGTTGGTTCAAGGTTTTGGCAGAAATGGCGGCTGCGACGCGGGGGAAGCGATTCCATGCGACAAAAGCCACACGCAAACGGCAAGCGCTCTGCCGCTTGCGACCAATGCATAGGGTTCGCACGTGCTTTCACGAACTGATGCGAAGAATTGTTGGTGACGGTGTGTCATGGAGACCGGGAGGCGCGGGGCGGGGGGAGGCTTCGCCCACCAACTCGCCAAAGTGCAACAAGAGCAGGGGCCCAGAGGCGAGCAGTCACCATGAACTGCATGGCGCTGGTACTGCTGTACATGTAGCGGCGGCCATACTCCTGGCTCACGCGAAAGACTCTCCCTCGCGGGCCCGAGCCTCGGTCCTTCGGGCGTTTACCCCAAACCCGATAATATAAACGAAAAAAAAAATCAAATCATACCCACGTACCTCGAGCTCACGACGTTGCCCACGCAGCAATGCGTACTGGTGGCTGTCGACGGAGCCCGACAAGCCTCCACCTCTTCCTCCTCTTCCTCTCCCTCCTCCTCTCATGTCTCGTGCACCAGTGTCGCCGCCCCCTTGGTCCTCGCCGATCCCACCCCCTTCGCCATAGTCGAGCCTCCTGGAGACGCCATACTCCGCCGCCACCGGTTGCAAGGTCGACGACCAATGCTGCCCTTCCCCGCGCTCACCACCGCTCCTCTCGTCGCCGCCGCCACCACCGACATCGCCCGCGGACACACTTACCCCACTCAGCGCCCCGAACCCGTTCAAACGACCCAAGCCCGAAGGCACGGGACCCCCACCGGCCCCGTCCCCCTCGCCGGTGACCCCACCCGGGTGTTCAGACACTCCGGGCGGGGGGAAGGACCACCGGAGCAGGCCGCTCGCGAGGGGGGCTCCTCCGCCCAAGGCGCCGTTGCTGCCGCTGCCGTGCAGGTGGTCGGTGCTCATCGCAGTCACGTTTCCCCCCCCCCCTCC